TCTTCTTCTTCTTCTTCTTCTTCTTCTTCTTCTTCTTCTTCTTCTTCTTCTTCCTTTACAAGTGTCAAGTGTGTAGCAGACATTGGCGATAGTCGTACTTCATTCCTTCCTAATGTCAAACCCCTGCATCAGCTCAGTTTTTTTTCTTCTCAAAATTGAGTTGCTTGTCATAAACTTGCTCTGGCTCTTTGTAGAATGTTGTGTTCCCGTGCTCTTTTTTCTATTTATCTTTCCACACAGCATCAGTTTTCCATAGTCTTAGTTACTACACACCGAAATTAAGTCGTGATCCTCTTTGCCCAGACCTTGTACAGTTTCCAACGAGGGGGGGGGGGGTGGAAAGCTCTCGTCGTTTGCCGTCATGGCACCACTCCAGCATCCCCCAAGACCCTTACAAAGCTGATTAGGGAGCCAATAAATCAATGTGTTTCATATAGTGGCTTTTGTAACAAGAGATTAGTACAGAAAGAGGGAGGGTTGTTTCTGCGTGTGCCCTATAGCGTTCAAATTGGGAAACAGGGAAAGGATCAATTGAATATTAGAGTGAAAGAATGTTATGGGAGTGTAGGTGTGTATATGAATGAGAGAGAGAGAGAGAGAGAGAGAGAGAGAGAGAGTGAAGGAAATTGTAGAAAGATAAATTCGTGTCTGCAAAAGAACAAACAAACAGTCAAGAAAAGAAACATACAAACCGTTATAAGGTAGGTGCCTACAAAACAAACACAAGGCCGTGTCTCCCTCCCTAAACCAGGACTTCCTTCTACCCGACGTTCCACATCGCAACTGAACTAAACTAGCAGATCTAGCAGCTAGCTTCGTCTGTAGCCCCCCCAAAAAAGCGGTAAGCCAAACGAGACAGGGGGGAGAGATCGGAGGGTTCGCGCTACCACCGCTCGGTGCTTGCAGTTGTCTGTCTCCGTATCGAAGCCCCTCGGCTTGTCTGAGTGAGTGTGTGCGTGTGTTTGTCTCGAGCTGGGACGGGAGTAAGTGCCAGTGCTATGTAGTATGCAGGCCTTCTTTCCCACTGCGCAACCCTGAACACCACCAGGACTAATTTTACGAGACCTCCCGAGATTTCTGTTTACAGTCTGGCAGTTAACTAATGGGATTGTTTTTCTTTTAGAATTTCTACTATTGTTGCTCTTCTGTGATGTGAGCGGGTGACGCAATGTTATGCTTAAGCCTAAGCCTAAGATAAAGAAACGTGGCGAGAGTTGATCGTGTTATCTATGATTATGATTATTATGATTACGATTATGATGATTATTATTACTACTACCTACTGCTACTACCATATTTAAGCTATTATTATTATTATTGTTACTGTTATCATCATCATTATAATAA